ATTCCCCCCTGCCCCCCCCGCCAGCCACGGATCCCCCCCCCCCCGTAGAGCTGCCGTGCACCCACCACGACCAACGCCAGCCCCACGCCACCCGTGCCGTGGAGTTTTCATCCCTTTTCCCCACACAGCCCGGTCCCACTCATGACAGCATCCAACCCTGTGAGCCCCAGGCAGCGGCAGCGAAGCCCTTTGTGCCCCAGCCGGATCGGGAGCTGTGGGCCTCCCCGCTCTGCAGTGCAAGTTTAATTGCAACCACCACATACGCCTTCCCCATCCCCGTCCCCCTGGGTCCCCCCTGGCTCTGATGGCCCTGGCAGCTCACATCTGGAAGGGCTTTAGCAGGGTTCTGAAGAAAGCTTTAATAAAAGCCAGGTTGGCTGCCGCCAGCACCGCAGACCTTACCCCGAGCACGCCGCCTCCCCGCAGCCACTTGTCCCCAGTTGGGCAGAATCATCCCCATCCAGCGCCCCGCAGCAGCCGGCACGGCTCCAAATTTGGGCTAGTTCAGCCAGGACCACTGGCCTGAGCTCCCTCGCAGCTGGGGCAGGTCCCCATACACCAGTGGGGCACCGGCTGTGGCCTGGCCCCGGCGCTCCTCCAGCCCTGCCCGCCGGCACCCCACGCAGTGGGCAGCACCGCCACGCTGCCCACTCCCCGCAGGAAGCAAAGCCACCGCCGATGCTTCGTCTCCAGGCGTGGGAGGACGGACGGGAGCATCCACCCACAGAGCCAGAGGCAGCTCCTGCCCACGTAGCGCTGGCAAACACCCCCTCTCAGCTCCCACCACCATCTCCTTCTCCTCCAAAGGGAGCCGCCACGCTCCAGCGCAACGCGGGGACGTCCCGGGCCGGTGGGGAACTGCTGACCTGGGAGCCCCAGGGAACAGCCCCTGCGCCAGCGTTGTGCAGGATGGCCCAAGTGACATGCTGCTGTCCCAAGATGTCAGCTCCTCTTTGGCAGGTCAGCCAGCTTCAACCACCGGCCCGTGCCCAGGGAGACTGCTCAGCCAGGTCACCAGCACCTCTCCGGGCTGCTCCCTCCTGCATCTCAGGGGATGCTCAGCAGCAGTGGTAGCCGTGCCCAGGCCAGCACCTGCTGCGGTGCCGCTCTCATCCACGGCGAGGTGAAACGCGCTCTGCTCCCGGACACAGGGATGTGCCATCATCCCGTTTTCCCAACTTACCCGAAGGTGTTTGCTCGCAGGACAAGCCCCCAGGCTGCGGAGGAAAAGGCGGCAGCGTGGCAGGCAATGAGCATCCTGGCAGCGCTTTGTGCTTCCTGGGGAGACTCCGGTAGCAGAGGGACCCCCAAGTCCTGCTGGCGCTTACCCCCGCAGCCCCTGCCTGCTGCTCATCTCATGCACGGGGTGACTCTGAACTCAAGGGGACAAGGCCACATCTTGGGATTTTGTCCTCAAGACACCTCCAAGGCCACGCGTGGCAGATACACCTCCTGCGCAGGCAGCGGCAGCCGAGACAGACCCACGCAGCGCCGGGTCCCCGGGGGCTCCCAGGTGAGGAGTTGGGATGGCTCCAAACCCCCATGGCGGCTTTCCAGGGCCCTGAGCACCGGGATGCTCCAGCAGGGCAGGGGCTGCCAGGCTGGGCCCATCCCTTCCTCGCGCCTCATGCCCATGAGGTCACCCAGCCGTCAACCTGGGGTGAAGCCATCGGGAGCAAACTCATGGCTTCGCCAGCGACGCCACTTCTGCCATGACCCTACGGAGCGGGTTCCTGGGGGAGCTGCTACAACCAGGGTTGCTTCCCATCAGCGCAGCACCCGTGGACTTCTCAGCCTGGCCTCCCGGGGCTGCCCCGGTTCCGGCAAGCAGATGCCCCCACCAGCCCTCCATGCCAGCAGCTCCTTCCCCAAGGAACCGGCGGTCCCTGAGCCACTCCGTGCCGTGGGGACAGAGCAACCCCCACACCAGCAAACGCTGCCAGCCAGCGGCAAAGCACAGCCCTAAAAAAAGCGGCGACTCACAGCCCCGTCTGAAAACGACCCGAGAAGCAGCAGACACCCACGGCACAGAACCGCCGGGGCCACATCCTGCTGCTGCAGCCCCAGTGCCTCCCGGTCAGCAGCCGCCAGCCACGGTGGGGACATGTGGCGCTGGGAAACAAAACCCCCTCAGTGTTTTGACCCAGCAACAGCTAGCAGCAGCCGCCGAGCAGCCTCCCCGCATAGCCCTCGTTGCCCCTTAATCCCCGCTGCGGGAGCAGCGGCGGCGGCACAGAATCGAGGTTAATGCCGCTGCGTCACAGGCAGTCCCGCTGCCGCGCCGGCAGCCCCGCCGCCGAGCAAACCTTGGCCCCACTGCTGCCAAACCAAACCCCCACGGGCCCAGGCAGCTCTCACCCACGGTCACAGCTGAGCCCCAAGCCAGCAGCTCCCCACGCAGGGGTACCACACGGAGGGAAACCCCCAGAGTCCCCCGTGGGATCGCGGGGGCTCTGGGAGAGCCTGCGACGGTGCTGTCCCCCCTCCCTTGTCACCTCCGTTGCCCACCCCTGCCCTCCGTCCTCCCACAAAGACGGGCAGCACGGGCTGATGTGGCTGCGACATGGCTGGGAGCTGGGGGAAGCCTGGACGGACCCGGGGGGGCTGGGAGGGGGGGTCCTCGCAAACCAAGTAAGAGGGGGTACGCAGGCACTGGGTGCTGCTGCACCCCCGGAGCCTGGCCCCAGCTAGCCCACAAGCATCACTGTGTCCTGGGTGAGCCCCAGGGCTGGGCAGGGGGGATCCCCAACTTCCCTCTGTGGGACCCCCCCCAACACAAACACCTCAGCCCCCCCCAGCACGCAGAGGGAGAGGAGGGAAACAAACCCCCCGCAGGCTGCCAACTGCCTCGAAGAGTTTCCAAAGCACCCGAACAGCTTCCCCGCTCCGTGCACCGACCCCGCAACCCTCTCCCCACAAACACAGCCCCCCCGTATCAGAAACACCCCCCCACACACACACGCAAAGCCACAACCACCACACACCCCACAGCCCGGCGACACGACGAAGCTGCCCCAGAGCCCGTTTGGTGCCCACCGCCGTGTCCCCAATCCCCCCAACCCCCCCCAAAAAGCACCTTCTGCCGGAGCAGCTTGCTGCGCACCCTGCCCCACAGACGGGCGCCCGTGTTGGGGGGTCGTTTCCCCTCGGGTTCCTCCACGCCACGCTCCGACCCTTCGCCCACAGGACCGGGGCTCTCATCCGGCTGCACCAGCACCTCCATCATCGCCGTGAACCGCTTCGGGCTCCGGGGGAAGGGGG